ACGGGGCGCGCTGCTGGTCTCCGCGCGCGCGTCGAGAAATCTGTTCTCGTGCAGCTCGATAATTTCAGCAGCGACGGGTGTGGAATTGTTCAGAATCTAATCTTTAAGCCTGCGGGCGCGCATCTTGGGATTGCGCGCGGGCTCCGCAGGCTGGGTCTCGGCTGGAAGGCCCCCGCTGCTAGATGTCTGTCTCGAGCGCTCGAGGCCCAGGGGTTGGGGTTGGGTCTCTGCAGATCCATGGTCGCGTTCAACATTGTGGTCTTCTCGGTTCTGTCCCACATCATGCAGTTTTACCACCCGATTCCTATGGTGGTCCAAACTCTTCGAAGAGCCCGGCAGGTGATCGCGAATGCGCCCAAGAACAGCCTCGCCCAGGGGATCCTTGATAACCTCAAAGCATGGGGATTTCTCGTGCATATCAGGGCCATTATTTTTGCAGGACGGGTGGCGATGTTCCGCGCTGCCACCATGTCGCCAGCCTTTTTTGTTGTCACAAGTTGTTCGAGCCCTCGGAGTTTGATGATGACAGGCTCTTGGCGTGGAGGAACAGCCGTGTGTGGATGATCTCATCGATGCACCACATGATCGAGAATTACAACCTGCTCGTCGCCATCCCGGCTATCCCTTCGTTCGGAACACCCCGATTCCAGGCCTCTATTGAAGCCGCCCTTCGTGGGCTCTCGTCCTTCTCGCTCCGCCAGGCCCTCTCCAGGCGTCTCGCGAAATTTGGCGCCGCTCCCTCCCTGCGCCAACTCGACCTGGTGTACGTAGCTCTAAATCGACGTGTCATGCTCGCTGCCTCCTGCACTTTCTCCTGTGTGCTCTAAACTATATGTAATGCGTGGTGCACGACAGGTCGCTTCCGCGGGCCCAGCGAGTCCTGCAGATTTTGTGGTGCGGAGGGAGGCGACTGTATGATCCATTTCCTTGTCTGCCCCTGCTCTTCTGTTGTTTCTTCCTTGCTTCCCTCGCCCCCCCCTCGTTTGCCCTTGCCCCTGCTTCGTCTCGCGCGTCTTTGTTCCCTCTTCTTCCCCTCTCGTCTGTTGCTCTTGTCTCTCTCGCCATGTTTCATGATGTTTGCTGCACTTCGCATCGCGAATTGAAGCGTTGGCCGCGCGTCGCCCCGCCGAGAGAGCGGGCGAGACCGCGGAATTTTGCTCGTGCCCGACTTGCCCAAGTCCGAAGGCGGGCCCCCGCCGCTCAGCTTGCTGTCGTCGGGAGCTGACTGTCGTCCGCCGTTGTCGGTCGTCCCCTCGGGCTGTGTCCTCCTCCTCCTCCTCCTCTTCCTCCTCCTCCTCCGCTTCCTCCCAATCCTCCTCGTCCTCCTCCTCTTCCTTCTCCTCTCCAAGGGGGGGGGGGGGGGCGTGCCCCCGCAGCCCCCACCCGCGCGTGCGGGCGGCGCCCGCGGCCAGCCAGCTCCCGCGGAGGTACGAGCGCAAGCTCCTGCTGTGGCTGACGTGGACTCCCCCTCTCGGCCGGGCCCCACCTTCGGGAGGAGGGATGGGGCAAGAGGGTCGCGGGGTGGCCAAAAGCCGGCGGCGAGCGAGGGGGGGAAATGAGACGGAAAAGGCCTTCTCAGAAGGCGGCGGGGCTTTTCAGACGCCGTCCGGGATTCTTAGAAGTTTTCTGTGTCTTCGGGAAAAGGCTTAGAACATTTCTGAGACGGCCAGGGGACTTCCGAGTCTTCTGAAAAGGCCAGCCCCTTTTCACTTCCCCCTGGGCTCGCCGCCAGCAGAGGGGCGTTGATTGCGCTCCGGGTTTGCCCGGCGACCTTTTGATTCGCGATGTGGTGGTGCCGCCAGTTTTTTTTGTTGGCATGGAACAACGGGTGGGTGATGACTAGGCGGATTGGATATCATGACAAGGGCCCCTGGCATCTCTTCGGATCTCACGGCCCCCCTCTCTTACGGTCGGACCGAAGTACAAAATCGAAGTCGGTTCGGGGAGGGTGCCCCAATGTTTTTCTGTTCTTCGTGCTTGTTGGATGTTCTAATGCATCGGATGTCGGGAAAGCGGAGGAGGTGGTGTGGTGGAGGGGGGGAATCGGAATCATGAGAAAGGATGGGGGAGGGGGGGGGGAGGGGCATGGAGGATAAAGGAAGAGGAGGAGGAGGAGGAGGAGGAAGAGGAGGAGAAGGAGGAGGTGGAGGAAAGGCAGGGGGAAGAGGAGGAGTAGGAGTAGGCGTAGGAGTAGGAGTAGGAGTAGGAGTAGGAGTAGGAGTCAAGCTAGCCAGCTCGAGCGAGTCAAGCATGGCATGCCCAGTCCCACCCGCCCTCCCACAACATAAGAAGCAAAGCTGGCACAACTGGGGGCCGAAGTCATTGCAAGAAAAACAAAAAAAGACAAAGCACGACCATGTTGACAAGAAAAAACAAAAACTGTGTATTGTCTTTTGCAGATTAGAATGGGACGGGTTGGATGGGCGGGCGCGGGGTGTGCGCCGCGTCCCATTCCTGCCATGCATTTTGCGACGTGGACGACAGGACGTCCATGCGACGGTGCCAATGACGGCGACGACTCTAGAAGGATTTGAGCATGCGCTCGCGGCGACGCGCGCGCATGTCGCCCGCGTGGTATTTTTTTGCACAGGATTCGCGGCCTGGGTGCATGACAGAGCATCGCGAGTGCACCGCGCGATGACGTGAAATCGCTGGATTTGACCGAATTCTTAAGATTCCTATGGTTTTCCTATGATTTCAGCAAGAGAGCCCGGGCAAGGAAATTTGTAGTTTTTTTGTGAAAAAGCATTGGGTTTTTTATGTTTTTATGTTGAAATGCTTGCAAACACACGGTGTTCGGTAGGATTCTGACATCAACGCGCGCGTGTGCTCTTTGTGGTATTTTTTGCAATGGATTATCGCCGTGGACGACAGGACGTCCATGTCGAGAAGAAAAAATAAGAAACATGTTGAGTTTGTATTGTTTTTTACAGGTTAGGATGGGACCACCCGGATGGGGCCCCTATCTGCCGGCCTGAGGGGGGAGTAGGAGTATATTCTAATGAGGAATAAGGATAGGGGTAGGAGAAGGAGTAGGGGTAGGGGTAGGAGTAGGGGTAGGAGGAGGAAGAGGAGGAGGAGGAGGAGGAGGAGGAGGAGGAGGAGGAGGAGGACGGGGTCTGAATAGGCAGTGCGTGGGGGATGGGTGGGAGGAGAAGGAGGAGGAGGAGGAGGAGGAGGAGGAGGAGGAGGAGGAGGAGAGGGAGGACATGGAGTATGAGGAAGAGATGGTGGAGTGGTAGGAGAAGGGGGAGGAGAAGGAGGAAGAAGAGGAGGCAGAGGAGAAGGAGGCGGAAGAAGAGGCGGAGGAGTAGGCGGAGGAGGAGAAGGCGGAGGAGGAGGAGGAGGAGGAATAGCAATACTATTAATATCCATCGTAATAGGAAGACGAACGCTACTACTAATATTCAGATGACGAAGCATACTATTTCCACACATATTACCCACTGTTACGATGTCTCGATTGATCATCGTTAATACCAATACTACTACTATGAGTTATAATCGCATTACTAAGACTCATCTGATCATGCAACAGTGCTGGTAATACGACTGCGACTGCTACTAAGAATAAGGCGACCAACATCACTACTGCAACGAATGCTGATAGTACCACGATTGGTACGAATAACATGTATAAGGCAACGAGTATAATTACTGAGACTTATGTTGACAAGGCGACGGATCATACTACGCATGCCACGAAGACTAGACTAGCACTAATCGCACTACCGTTACTAACAATGCAACTGGTGTTATGAGGTAAGTAAAACAACATCATTCTACTGCGAATGATAAGCAGCTGACACAAAATCATACGACTGCGAAGATGAAACCGAACCTGATGATGATGCTGCTGATGCTGATGCTGATGCTGATGCTGATGATGATGATTATGATGATGATGATGATGCTGATGATGAGGATGAGGATGAGGATGAGGATGATGATGATGCTGATGCTGATGCTGATGCTGATGCTGCTGATGATGATGCTGATGATGATGATGATGATGCTGATGACGATGATGATGATGATGATGATGATGATGATGATGATGATGATGATGATGATGATGATGATGATGATGATGATGATGATGATGATGATGATGATGATGATGATGATGATGATGATGATGATGATGATGATGATGATGATGATGATGATGATGACTATGATGCTGGTGATGGTGAGGAGGATACGTAGAATGAGGAAACATAGGAGGGGATACGATGATACGTAGGAGGACTATGCGCCGGAGGAAGATTCGTAGGAGGAGGTACGCCAGATAAAGATGCGCAGGAAGAGGGGGGGAGGAGGAGGAGGAGGAGGAGGAGGAGGAGGAGGAGGAGGAGGAGGAGGAAGGAGGAGGAGGGAGGAGGAGGAGGAGGAGGAGGAGGGAGGAGGAGGAGGAGGAGGAGGAGGAGGAGGAGAGGAGGAGGAGGAGGAGGAGGAGGAGGAGGCGGAGCAGGAGGAGGAGGAGGAGGAGGAGGAGGAGGAGGACCATCACCTTCTCAAGGGGGGGAAGGCAGAGAGGGTTGGCCGACCCGACCCAACCCTCTACCTTCAGGGGTGACATCCGATCTCCCTCTCCACTACCCGCCGACCAGCCGTGCTGCGCCTTCCTTGAGGAGCACGGCAGCAGGGAGGCAAGGAAATCGGGGGCCCCCATCCGAGGCTAGAATATCTTCACTATCCTACCGTCTCCTTCGCTGACAGTCGATCTATCTCCATCGCCTGCGCCCCTGCCTAGAGGAGCTCGTGGCGGAATCGGCTATCCGAGACGGGATTTCTATCCAAATCACAAACCCTACTACGGCCCAGAGGCTTATTCGGGAAAACGAACGAGGGCCCCAAACAGTGCGAGCACAGGGGCGGGCGAGGGGGCCCCAGGGGGGGCCCGCGTACAGCCCGCCCAAGGCGCGGATATCTTCGCGCCCGCGCCGCACAGGGGGCCCCCTACAGCTTGCGGAGGCTGCTACGATTACGAAAGCCTCCTTTCACAATAGGCCACATCTCCATGGCCCTGAAATCTACCTCCATGCCGTCCGAGTTGAACAACCATATCGTGATGATGCTCTTCCCAGGGTGCTGAAGGAACTTGTGATACCTCTTGTCTAAGTTGGCACTGTCACGGGCGTCCGCGAAGTCCTTCCAAAATCCACTGTCATTTCTGTATTGCCAACGCGGAACGGCTTCGAGAGTCGTGAAGGTGGTGTCCTTCAGCTCTTTGTTGTCCGCGTTGGCGCTCGATGCTACTGCGGCCTTCGGGTCCATGCCGAGGCCGTTGTGCAGCGCCACCTCGCTTGTGGGCTCCACCGCTGTGTCCCCGAAGCGGTACTCCTGGACTGTGGTGTCGCTCTCGACGATCTGCTGCACCGGCGGTGCCTCAGTGGTCTCCTGCAGGGAGGCGTCCTCCAGGTTAGCGTTCTCGGTGACCTTCGTGATGAAAGACGAGGCGGGGGCAGGCAGTTTGTCCACATAGCGAAGTTGCTGCGCATCGCCGCCTCGCACTGCTCGAACTTGTCGTTTCCGCCGGTTGTGACGATCAGCTCGTTGCTGTCCACGTTGGGCGGGTTTGCCTCCTCGACATTGTTGACAATGTTGGGGTTCAGCTTGTCGATGCTCCTCACTGTCTCGAAGGTGGTGTGGCTCCGCTTCCTGCTGGCCACTTGGGGCGTGGCGTCCATGTTTGAGCGGGACTCGGTCTGCTGCGCCTTCGGGCTGTCGAGCAGAGCATCTAGCAGTTCCTCCTCCACAGGCGTAGAGCAATCTCTGAACTCCATCTGCACGAGGCCGTACTCCCAGAAAGAAGGCTCCCAATAGGAGTCGATGAGGGTGTCGACGGCTGTGTCGCGCAGGGCAGGAACCTCCACGGCAATGTACTTGGTCCCAGCATGTGCAGGACCACGTTCGAGGCCTGCCTCGGACGCCGCACTGTCTGGCTGTGGAAGCCCAGGGGGAGGATGAGGCCGCGCCGATGGTGTTCTCTGCAGTGCGGCGCACAACTCCAAGCCAGATCGCTGTGCCCTGCGGGCCGCAGAGCGCTGGGGCCGAGATCGCCGCGCCATCTACGCCGAAATGTATGAGGCGGTCACCTTGCAGGCGGCACGCTCCCAGTCGCACATCGGCTTGTGGTACGGAAGCTGGCGGAAGGCTAGCGGGCACCTGGAGCCAATATGGTTGAATGAGTCAGGAGGGGGAGGAGGCGGAGGAGGAGGAGGAGGAGGACGAGGAGGTGGAGGAAGAGGAGGAGGAGGCGGAGGAGGAGGAGGAGGAGAAGGAGGAGGAGAGAGGAGGAGGAGGAGGAGGAGGAGAGGAGGAGGAGGAGGAGGAGGATGGAGGAGGTGGTGGAGGAGGAGGAGAAGGAGGAGAGCAGAAGGAGGAGGAGGACGAAGAGGAGGAGGAGGATGTGGAGGGTACTGGGGATGACCTACAGGAGGATACGGAGGAGGATGCGGAGGAGGATACGGAGGATGATGCGGAAAAGGAACGGAGGAGGATACCAAGGAGGATATTGAGGAGGATACGGAGGATGATACGGACGAGGATGCGGATGTGGATTCGGAGGAGGATGATACGGAGGATGCGGGGAGGAGGCGGAGGAGGAGGATACGGAGGATGATACGGAGGAGGAGGATGAGGAGGAGGCTGATGAGGAGGCGGAGGAGGATGAGGAGGAGGCTGAGGGACAAGGAGGAGCAGGAGGAGGCAAAGGAGGAGGAGGAGGAGGAGGAGGAGGAGGAGAAGGTGCTAAAGAAGGAGGGGGATGGGGAGGAGGAGGAGGAGGAGGAGGAGGAGGACGAGGAGGAGACGGATGAGGAAGAGGAGGAGGAGGAGGAGGAGAAGGATGATGATGATGATGATGATGATGATGATGATGATGATGATGATGATGATGATGATGGTGGTGGTGATGATGATGATGATGATGATGATGATGCTGATGATGATGATGATGATGATGATGATGATGATGATGGTGATGATGATGATGATGATGACGAGGAGGAGGAGGAGGAGAAGGAGGAGGATGGAGAGGAGGAGGCGACCGCGGAGGAAGAGGCGGAGGAGGATGAGGATGAGGAGGATACGGAATGCACGGACAATACAGAGGAGGATGTTGCTGCTGATGATGCTGATGATGGCAATGCTGATGATGCTGCTGCTGATGATGCTGATGCTGTTGCTGCTGATGATGATGTTGCTGATGATGTTGATGCTGATGGTGATTCGGATGGTGATGGTTATGGTGACGCTGGTGATGCTGATGCTGATGTTGTTTATGATTCCTGTGATGTCGAAGATGAGGCTGCTGATGACGATAGTGGTTCTGCTGATGATGCTGGTGCTGATGCTGATGATGATGATGCTGATGTTGATGCTGATGCCAAGGATGACGATGCTGACGATGCTGATGCTTATGATGATGATGATGATGACGATGTTGATGTTGCCGATCTGCTGCTGATGCTGATGATGTTGATGCTGATATCGGTGGTGATGCTGATGCTGCTGATGCTGATGATGCTCATGCTGATGCTGATGATGCTGATGTTGTTGTTGATGCTGCTGATGATGCTGATGCTACTGGTGTTGATGATGATGATGCTGATGCTGATGATTTTGATGATCATGGTGATGATGATGATACCGCGGGTGCTGATGATGATGTTCATGATGCGGATGTTGATGATGCTGATGCTGCTTCTGATGATGATGCTGATGCTGACGCGGATGTTGTTGATGCTGTTGCGGGTGATGATAGTGATGTTGACGATGGTGCTGTTGATTATGATGAGGGTGATGATGATGATGATGACGATGGTGATGCTGATTATGATGACGATGCTGCTGATGATTATGCTGTTCATGTTGTTGATGATGATGATGACGATTATGGTGGTTATGATGATGATGATGATGATGATGATGATGATGATGATGATGATGATGACTATAATCATGCTGATGCTGATTATGACGATGATGACGATGATGCTGAAGATGATAATGATGCTTATGGCGCTGATGATGATGCTGATGATGCTGTTGCTGATGATGATGATGGCGATGACGATGTTGTTGATGATGATGATGACGATGATAATGTTGCTGATGCTGATAGTGCTGATGCTTATGATGATAATGATGATGGCGACAGTGCCGATTATGATTCTGATTTTGATGCTTCTGATGATGATGGTGCTGATGATGCTGATGATGCTGCTGATGCTGATGATGATGGTGAGGCTGACGCTGATGGTGATGATGATGCTGATGATGATGACGATGCTGCTGGTGCTGACGATGATGATGATGATGATGATGATGATGATGATGATGATGATGATGATGATGATGATGATGATGATGATGATGATGATGATGATGATGATGATGATGATGATGATGATGATGCTGATGATGATGATGATGATGATGCTGATGCTGATGCTGATGCTGATGCTGATGCTGATGATGATGATGATGATGCGGAGGAGGAGGAGGAGGAGGAGGTGGAGGAGGAGGAGGAGGAGCAGTCGGGTACGGAGGAGGAGGATGCGGCGGAGGAGGAGGAGGATGAGGAGGAGGAGGATGAGGAGGAAGAGGAGGAAGAGGAGGAATAAAAATATGATTTTAACGACAGACGACGCAAGCACACAACACACACACACAACACACAACATCAAGAGACAGCACTCCGTTTTAGCTCTGGTTCAGCAAGGGCCCATGGCCTGGCCTCGACTGTAACGAAGTCGCGCTTGGGATGGCGACCAGAGGCTATGCGACTCCAGGAGTGCATCCTCCCCTGGGCCCCCGTACGGGGGATCGGGCGGCACTCTTGGCGGAGACCTCGCACTTGCCCTCCGCTGGTGTATACTTGCACCGGAGACAAGCAACGATACAAGAGTGGTCGCTGGCATCCAGGAACAGCATTGAATGACCGACCTCCAAAAACTTGGGAGCGTCAAGCCCTCGGATCCCGACCCCAGGACCACCGCGACAAAGATCAGGAGGCGGCCTCAGGACGGCCCTGGACCCACGGCAACAACGTTCACATTGCCAGGACTTGCCGTGCCAGCTCCAAACGTGGCCGTCGGAAGGGGGCCTTGCTGGGACAGGTTTCTTCACATACACATCACTTGAAAGGTCAAGGCGCGGCCACAGCGGCACCAACTTACCTGCCAGCTTGCAGGCAAGCTTGGACATACGCACCTGGCGGGAAAATTTCTCGCATTCATCCGCAGACGGGGCTGGGTGCCTGGACGCGGCCCTTTTGGCCAAGCTTATAATGCTTCAATTCATCTGACATATCAGGGTCGGTCCTCCTGACTTTGGTTACCGAGACTAACCCGTAGGCTGCAGAGTCAGAAAACTGCCGCTGTACGGTCGTTTATAGGATAGCTGCTCCTTCGGATGCATATTAAACTGTCGGACAACGTTGGGACAGTCCGAGAAACCCTTGTAATCAGGACTCGCGAATTGTCCCGGAGCACCGATGGCCAAACATTCAGCAGCCTGGGGCGTCTGCGGGTTCGGGGCCCAGGCTGGTGCCGAAACATGGCCGAGAACATGTTGATCGGAGTCGTAGCATCTAAAACCCTTTCCCCCCCTAGACAGTTCGGGAATCACATGCCTGTAACAACAACCGTCGAAATGGAAATCACCTTGAGCCCTGAACTCGTCGATGCCCAACACCTCAAATCTGCCCTCGGACAGCGGCCTGGGGAGCGTATCACCTGGATGTTCAAAGATGCCTCTTGTGAACAGGAGGCGCTCGGCTGGGTCATCGAAGTCGATGTCGCTCAGGGTAGGGCTGTTATCTCCAAGCTTCGCCATAATATCTTCGCGCTCCTCGTCGCACGCAGGGCAGAAGTAGAGTCTATGCTCCAGGGTGTCTGGGGCAGCTCTGCACAGCTCACATAGTAAATCTCCATAGTGGTAGCCTCTCTCCTCTGCAACTTGTTTGGTCCAGATGCCCCCTCAGCACATGGCCTTGATGCAACCTTTTTGCAGAGGAGTGAAGCTGGACGAATTTAGCTGAGCCCTGACCTGGCCATAGCACAGGCGCCGTACGTCTGGCAGCAAACACGCCGCACTGGACTTCTCCAGCGTCCTCAAAACGGCAGCGTGCAGGGCTCGCTGGATTAAAGCTGGGCTGCAGAGGGTCATTTGGGCGACAACTCCGAAATCGTCTATCAGCTCCGTGAAGGAACGCATGCACCACCCTATCCTCTGCAGAGACAACTTCATGGCAGACAACGGCCCCGACGCTATTCTCCAAGAACCTGCATCTGGATTGCCTTCGAACATCTCCTGCCACCCTTCTCGAAGTTCCTAAAAAGAGAAACAAAAAGGATATGAACGAGTCAGCGCAGTCCACACTTCCTTAGAGTACCGCACTACAGGACCGACAGCGGCATACCAAACGGGGTCGTGCTCCAGGATGAGGAGGGAGGTGAGGGACCTCTGTCCTGCGCTTGGCTGGCAGGTCGCTCCAAAAGATCTTCCTGCAACCTCTAGCTCGTGATCGGGGAAACCTCGAACTTCGCTGCCGTAGACCAGGCCAGGTAAGGCCCCGACACAAACCATCCTCTTCGTGAAGCGGCCCAGGACCTTCTTGTTTCCCTTTAGACGTCGAACCGTCTTCTTGAGTGGTTAAAGACGGACCTGGAACTTCTTGGACCTCCCGCCAGATCTGAAAGCCTGACCACAGGTATGGTCAATACCTAGGTCCGCCGCTGACCTGCACGCAACGCCAGCTAGGTCTCCCAGCTCGGCTCGGATACGTGCAGCAAGTTGCGGAGATGACGCGCTCAAGGAGGCCTTCTCCGAAGATACTTGCGCGTGCAAGTCATTCAGAAGG